CGTCTGGTAACGTGGACCCACAATCATCCAGCTCTTATCAGAAGATGCTAAATGATGGTATTATATATTACAAAACCTCTCTCTCCCGTCATTACAGTCTTCTGTGTCTTTTATACTGCGGTTTTGTATCTCACTGGGCTATTGCCTTCAGGGGCGGTGGGGTAGCCTAGTGGTTAAAGCGTTCGCTCGGCACGGCGAAGACACCGTTCGATTCCGTACAAGGGTACAATGTGTGAAGCCCATTTCTGGTGTTCCCCGCCGTGATATTGCTGGAATATTATATAGAGATTTATATAGCGCCAATATCCAGATGAGTCCTGCTCAAAGGCGCTTTCGTATGAGTCTGACAAGGAAAGAGTCACTCGGAACTGTAACATGATTTGAAAAAGAATGTTTTCAACATTCTCTTAAATGCACAGATTTTCTCTGCACTTTTAATGCCCAATGGGATGTTGTTCCAAAGCATAGGACCTGCTTTTGAGAAACATCTGTCTCCAAATGTCTTTGTCCTCGTACGTGGCACAACTAGTAACTGGGCACTACTAGAACGTAGGGAACGGGAGGGTTGATCGCACTGGATCAGTTCATTGATGTATGATGGGCCAATACCGTGAAAAGCTTTGTATACAAGCACAAGAATCTTAAATTCTATCCGTTTGACTATTGGGAGCCAATGCAGATGCAACAGAACTGGAGTTATGTGCTCATATTTGCCGGTTCGAGAGATAACTATAGCAGCTAACTGTAACTTTGCTGTAACTTTGCAATTCGTTGTTTTGGTAACCCAACCAAGAGAGCATTGCAATAATCCAGACGGGATAACACGTATGCCTGGATGAGTGATGCAGCCACACGTGGGTTTATATACTTCCTTATTAGAGCAATGTTCCTGTTATGGAAGTATGCCTGTTTGCAGATTTGGCTGATATGGTCTTCAAGTGAAAAAAACAGAGTCCTGAATTACTCCCAGATTGCGAGCCTTTTTACTTGGTTCTATGATACTGTCACCACTTTTGAAAGCCGGCAGTGAGAGATGTCTTAAAATGAGGAGCTCTGTCTTGTCATCATTAAGCTTCAAAAAAGTTGATAGCCATCCATTCACGGATGTCAGAAACACATTTAGATATGACAGCAAAGGAGAATTCAACTGATGGTTTACTTTGTGGTCTAAAAGATATGTACAATTGGGTGTCATCTGCATACAGATGGAATTGCAGATTATATTTTCGAATGACATCCCCAAGAGGTGAAGTGTACATTGTGAACAGGATCGGACCAAGGACTGATCCCTGTGGAACTCCGAAGAGCAGTTCTTCTTTCTTTGATGTTGTACCATCAATGTGAACGGATTGGTGCCGTCCAGAGATATAGGAATATTACTAAATGCGGCGTAAATGTAAACTCGCTCACCCACTCACTCACTATTACCTTCAAAACAATGTGAAACTTCCAAACTAACTCGGCCGCGAAAAGCTGTAAATTTGCAGTTGTAGTATAAAAGCAATATTAACTCACTCATTCCAATTTCTTATAAAATCTTTTCCACCAGTAATTAGAACTCATCTTGAACTGTCCTGTGGGTAATAAAATCACATACAGGATCGTCGCTTTTACCTAGATGTTGATGCGTCGTAAATCAATACTCACTCACTCAAACATCCCTCTGAGATCCTCGGGTACAGCTGGTTCCAGAATACCTGCGTCGTTGTTACCTGAGTGACTTGGCTCGATGTATTACAGTAACTGTATTTTTTGTCAGGGGCAATGTCCCTTAAATTTATTAATTGTTGTCAGTTGTTTAGTGGCGCAATAAGCAATAACCAAGCAATGGTGGCGACTGATATCATGGCCCCGATCCACGCATTATGGACACAATGACATATGTCACAATGACAAAAGTCAGCGAGCCTGACTATCCGAGCATGGGTTGCTGAAGCCAGATTCAAACCCCGATCGTCACGGGGCTATCTGTTCCCGAGTCCATTACCCATTGGCCGCCGTGAAGCATCTGGATTGTTAGAGACTGTAAGGTTTAACACTCACTCTCCCTCCGTCATTCTCTCCCTCACCCACCCACTGGAACGGTTCATTTTTGGACCCGCGAAGGTCCGGGTTAGAATGAGCCTTCAGTAATCCATGCCTGTCGTAAGAGGCGACTAACGGGATCGGGTGGTCAGACTCGCTAACTTGGTTGACACATGTCATCGGTTCCCAATTGCGCAGATCAATGCTCCTGGTGTTGATCACTAGATTGTCTGGTCCAGACTCGATTAGTTACAGACCGCCGCCATATAGCTGGAATATTGCTGAGTGCGGCGTAAAACTAAACTCACTCACTCCAAGCTTTTGACAAAGCTCCTACTTTTCAGGTTACATTATATGACGAACAGTTTCTGTTGAGGCTAAACTTTCGGACGCTATTTCATTGCCTACTTTCTAATATTACTGTTAGTTTTGCCTCAACTGTAAGATGTATATCAGCTGAAGATGATTGATAGGGACTATGAATAAATTTAGTTTCCTGTGGGTTAGGTAAACGTATGTTTGACCAGGGTTAAACAGAGCGGAATGATTGGTCGGAATACAACAGGTGTTGAAAGTGAAATATTGTTATAGCACTTGTCAACAGCATAACACAACACAGTGTGTAGTATGCTATAAATGTTAGTCAAGGAGGGCGTCAACTAGGCGTGATATACACTGATAACGCATGGCGATACTATCGATCCTTGAGTATGGCTCAGGTCTGTATCCAGGCCAAATGCATGAACAGTCTTATTCAACAGAGTTCGTCTTAACTTACTGCGAAATCACCACTCAAACGGACATTTTTCATTATGGAATCACCTCTAACGGACAACCAGCAAAACGATTCATATATAAGACAGACATCTATAATTATGGAACCGCCAACAAATGGACATTCATCAAACTGGAATCATCTCTAAAACGGATATCAATTATAACTGAATCATCTCTAAAACGGACATTCATCAAAATGGATTCACCTCTAAAAAGGACATCGATCATTATGGGATCCTCTCCAAACCGTACATTGATTATTATGGAATCATCGCAAAAACGGACATTCACCAAAATGGAAAAATCTCTAAAACGGACATCATTCATTATAGAATTCTCTTCAAAACGGACATCGACTATTATGGAATCATCTCCAAAACGGACATCGGCTATAATGGAATCATTTCCAAAATGGACATCGATTATTATGGAATCATCTCCAAAACGAACATATATTTTCAAGGATTTATGTAGGTATCCAACATCTTTGGTGAAGAAATGTCTATGAACATGGGGCTATGTTGTACAGACTCAACTGAAAAGAAATCTCTCTAACGGACATATTTGGTAAAGGAATCTCTGACACCTACATACGATTTTAACTAATCTCAATTACGGACAAATCAGGTGATAGAATTCTTTCAACGTAAATCTCTTCTAAAATAAATCTCTGTAATGGACATCCAATACACAAAAATCCATTGTGACATCCATTGTGCCAGGAATTTCTCTTTTACCGAATATCCATGTCAAAGAAAGCGGACATCAATAACAAAGGACTCTCTACCACGAGACATCTGTTTTATAGAAATCTCTGGGGCGGTGGGCTAGCCTAGTGTTTAAAGCGTTCGCTCGTCCCGCCGAAGACCCGGATTCGATTCCCACATGGATACAATATGTGAAGCCCATTTCTGATGTTCCTCGACGTGATATTGCTGGAATATTGCTTAACGCGGCGTAAATCTAAACTCACTCACTAGAAATCTCCATAACGAACGTCTGTTTCATAATAAACATTATAATATATAATTTATTATTATAATTATTAATATTATTTATCATTATAATTTATCCCTCTGGAACGGGTTATGACCAGCGGTTGATGGCGTGCCATAGGTCCTCTGTTACAGGTAAAGGTTGCCAGGGACGTTGTACCTTATCAATTGAAATCCACGATGGCTGACCGATCTGATTTCAGCCGACACTTTCGAGACGCGCTGGTACACTTGGCATATGTCCAGAGATATACATCACTGAGACAAGGAGGTGTTATAGGCGGGACGGACACTTGCGGACAAGTGTGGACAGACATATCGGTTTCATGTTTCTTACTCATGGATAAATATATCGCCCTGTCATCACGTGTTTGGACTGCCATGTTTGGGTCGTTGCCAAGGAATGGATGGAACAGCTGACATAACAACCGTATTTTAAGAGGTTACGATAACTATATTAATAGTAAAGTCCATCCGGGTCTCTCAAATTATTACAGTTAATTTGTCATCAGAGTATAATATGGATATGGGAAGTCGTACCCTTACGTTCAAAGGTTGGCATGTATTGAACTGTCGTTTTGAGGAGATGGTTTGTACTTGACATTCTTTCATTTCATTGAAAAAACGACTGTCAGACACTTTCACGTAAAGATACATGTGAACTGGTTGAGATTATAACAAGCTGTTGCTGTCTTGTTCATCTTGTCCCAGGACCAACACGCCTGGTCAGGACTCGAAGTAGATATTTTACGTGCGCTTCGACACCAACCAAGAGCACTTGACACGAAATTCGTTGCTTCCTTTCACGATCTTGACAGTTTCTGTGGCTACTCACACTGGACTTTTCGTAATTTCCATAAACTACGTTTACAAACAAAGCTGCAACTCTTCATGAGCTTACCATATTTCTGGTAACCAGGGTTGACTGTAGCCGGATTTAATCAGTGGTAATCAACGAATACTTAGGACAGTACCCAAATTTCAACACATATAATACCACCTTAGATATTACACAAAATGGCTGCAAAGGGAAAATTATTGCACCAATAACCCATTTGCAGAAACTCATTTTCTACAATACCATATTTATCCACCACATCTGAAATCTTCTCTTTACCATGTTTGGACCTTATCAATGCCCAAATTGGAATTAAACATTTTCCAATTCAAGCATTTGAGGTGACAGGAATAACAAGAAACATATTGAGGAAAAGGCTTTAATGTTTAAAATTAATTGAGTGCAGAGTTAAAATTCAATGTTAAAATACTTCTGAATTTAGAAAAATATAAAATCTGAATTTTGAACAAAATAATGTATTTTCTGAATTTGCTAACCAAGAGCACTTTGTTGAGAATCTCAGATAAATCGTTGCATGTTTTTTAGTGCTCATAATTCAAGGATTTCAAAAATCAAATCTTATTCACGCTGTCTTCTACAATCTCAAACAACCAGTGATGACTACTGGTTCGCTGACAAATCTGCTTGGCGGTCTCTCCAACTTTAGTCTTAATGTTGGCGTTGATGAAAGGGTTCATCAACAACAGTTCGAGAGTTTCACGACTGTCTTGTTCTGAGGAGGCTAAATGTAAGGGAGTTAATCCTCCATTTGTTTGAGCATTAATATCGGCACCACTGTCTAACAGAAAACTAGCCACGCTTGTTGAGTTCCATCGGCAGGCACTGTGTAATGGCTGCCAACCATCCACTGTCTTTGCTGAGATGTCTGCTCCATGGGAATACAAGCACTGGAAAAATACCATATACATGTACAAATTTTGTCGTCAGTTTGTTTGTGTGTTTATTTATTTATTGTTTCACTCAGCAATTTCTCAGCTATATGGCGGCTGTCAGTAAATATTCCAGTCTTGACCAGACAATCCAAGGATCAACAGCATGAGCATCAATCTACCCAATTGAGTGAGTGAGTGAGTTTAGTTTTACGCTGCACTCAGCAATATTCCAGCTATATGGCGGTGGTCTGTAAATAATCGAGTCTGGACCAGACAATCCAGTGATCAACAGCATGAGCATCGATCTGCGCAATTGGGAACCGATGACATGTGTCAACCAAGTCAGCGAGCCTGACCAACTGATCCCGTTAGTCGCCTTATACAACAAGCATAGTTGCCTTTTGCGGCAAGCATGGGTTGCTGAAAACCTATTCTACCCCTGATCTTCATGGGTCCTACCCAGCTGGATTATGATGACATGTGTTAACCAAGTCAGTAAATCTAACGACAAGCATGGGTTTCTGGAGACAAATTGTAACCTGGATCCTTCTTGGTGTCAGTGTCAGAGACCAAATGCAAGATAAGAAACTTGTTGAAACTTTTGTGATAATGGTTACTAGACAATATACATCCCCTCTACACTTTCTGAAAATAAAAGATCTGGGTTAGAATTGATCTACAATAACCCATGCTTGTCTTGTAAGAGTCGACTAACGGGATTGGGTGGTCAGGCTCCCTGTCACATGTCATCGTATCCCAATTGCATAGATCGATGCTCACACTAGATTGTCTGGTCTAGACTCGATTATTTACAGACCGCCGCCATTTAACTGGAATACTGCTGAGTGCGGCGTAAAACTAAACTCACTCACTCAGTATATTAAAGACAGAGGTAGCAAGACAGGGAATATCTGAGACATAAACTGTCTATCTGAGACTTTCGGGGTCGGTTATCTCCCAACTGACAGACACCCATTTGACAGACAGTCGATTGACAGACACTGAACTAGAAGGCTAATTAGGGTACCACCTATGGGTATAATGGAACAGTCCACTGTGTAGTGAGTAGAGTAGGATGAGCCTGAAACAGGTTCGTTACTGAGAAGTTTGATTGTGTGTAAAAGATCTTTGTTGTGATTAAATGATAATATTCTGTCTTCTCTCCACAATTTTTTTTTTTTTATTTATTTTTTTTAATTTCCACCTTTTGGTTACATTTCCATCCATTTTATAGCGACAACACATACACATACATATATATGTGCATAAAGATGTACAAAGGATTGTGGCTTGCTTGAATGTACTGAATAGTATACATAGACTCAACCAAGGGCGTCATAGCTGTACACAGAGTCATGATTCATGTAAATATCATATATAAGGCATTACACCGGGTTGCTGAAAAGCATATGTAGAGAATAACGCCAGAAATTTACACAGGATTGTAATTCATTTGAAAGTGATATCAATGACATTGCACAGATTTGCTGTCAACATATATAGAGGAAAACATATATGTACAGATCGACCAAGGGCATCGTAGATGTTTACAGGGTTGTGTTCTTTTAATTGTCATACAGAGGGTTGCTGAAAAGCATATGTAGAGACGACCAATAGGAATGAAAGCTTGCTTGTTTACAGTTTGAGAATGCTGTAAATTTTGTTGCATGGTAGTATCTATATATTTCTTGTTGTAAAGCTTTGAAATTTGGTTTGATTTTCCTAATAGTACATCTGTAAAGCATAGATTTTGTTATAAGAATAATTGCATTCAAAGGATTGTTATGCATACCCGTAAATCCAAATAACACATTCTCTTCATTGAATTCAACATTTCCTTCAGTATATTTTGCAAGCCATTCTGAAAGTTTTCTCCATATAATATTGGCACATTGACAGGTATATAAAACATGGACAACGATTTCAGGTGAATCATTACATAAAGAACATGCTGGGGATTCAACGTATCCCATCTTAAATAACAAGTTATTGGTATTCAGTATATTATGAATGATCTTAAACTGTAACCATCTTATTTCACTACTTAACTTTCTTAGTTTCTTAACTCATAACTTGTCCGGTTGTCTACTGCAGGTGGGAGTCAATCCTGTGGAAAAACTGACGTTGTTCTATTTTTTCGGAACTTTAATTTCTGAAATGCTCCAATCATTTAAGATGTCTTTTTGACAATGTTTTCAATATGATGGCGCCAACTCCCGTTAGACGAAAAGGTCAAACCCAAATGTTTATGAAAATCAACTGTTTTTATATTGCAGCAATCAAAATTCAAATTCATGTGTTTTCGGCCATCTTTCAAAGTAAATAATATTACATAGTATAGTAAAAATAATTTTTCTTGTGTTTTGATTTGGACTATTCCATTCTAATGTGTAGGTAACAGGTAGTAGCTAATCTTTTCATTGAACCGTAAATGTTGTTGTTTTAAGGCGTCTGCGAACTGCCAGTCTGCGTAATGGGAGGACACCTCAGGGTCAGCTTGTCATTATTTATGAGCACAGGACCTACTTACTGGTAGCCTGCTGCGCTGTGCTCTATTTATTATTATTTGACTAAAAATCAATGGTAGGTATGTAGAAGCGACTGACTGACTGAGTTTGGTTTTTACGCCGCTTTTAGCAATTTTCCAGCAATATCACAGCAAGGGACACCAGAAATGGGCTTCACACATTGTACCCATGTGGAGATTCGAACCCGGGTCTTCGACGTAACGAGCCAACACTTTAACCACTAGGCTACCCCACTACCCCTATGTAGAAGCGAATGGGAAACATTCATTTATTTAAAGCTGTTTACATGTTAAATTTGACATGGAATTCGTTGTGGAATTCGTTGTGGACCGTCACTTTGAGATAATCAAGAAAAACAAGGCACTCACCTTGGCAATGTCGAGATGTCCATTATATGATGCTCTGTGTAGAGGTGTGTAGCCGTCTGTGTCATGGGAGTGGACAAGTCGAGGACAAGATCCCAACATCTCCTCAACGATTGCAAGTTTGTTGTTCTCGGCAGACCACAGTATTCTTTTCTCAGGGTCATCTGAAAGGTGCAAGTGAAGTCAGCCCCTCAAATAAACAGGCCCCTAAGTTCAACTTTAATGTTGGGAGCGGACCTGCTTTGGATTCTGAAATGAATGGCATTGGGGGCAACATGTGGATAAAATATTCACTCATACCAGTGTGCGAAATAGTTCCCAAATTGTGCTAGCCAGCCCAGCTAGATATGCCTGAAAGTTACTAGCCCACAAAATACATGTAGTTCCCAAGCCTGAAATTTGAATGAAAAACTAAGCAAAAGATATAAAAAAACAGATGAGAATAAGATATTGTCGGTATGACATGGGTTTCATCATTAAGCTGCAAATATGATGAACATTTTTATCAGGCCATTATCTTGCATGATTCAAAAGTATATTATAACTTAACAAGTTGGAGAGAGTGATATATCTAAAACATGATTCCATGAAAATTCACTAGCCCAAATGGATTTTTACAAGCCACGGTCTAGCGGGCCAGTAGCTATTTCGCACACTGCTCATCACATCAAAGACCTGCCTAGATTTTATTCCCCACATGGATAAGATATAAAAAGCTCATTCCTGATGTCCACAGTCCGGGGCCCTGTTTCACAAAGCTCTCGTAGTGCTACGCCTATCCGAAGTCAACAGTTATAGTATAGGAGGTACGAATGCTACGAGAAAAGTAACAAGATATTAGGCTTACAAGACCTATGTGAAACGGGGGCCCAGCACAGTGGTGTCTTGGTGTTTCCCAAACAATCAGGTGACCTTACTTTCATCTTACTCACACACTGACTTCTGCTTCTGCAATGACAACATATCTTTACACATCAAATTGCCTGTTTTAGAGTGAGTGAGTTTATATTCATGCCGCCCTGAGCAATATTCCAGCTATATGGCAGCAGTCTGTAAATAATTGAGGCTGGACCAGACAACCCAGTGATCAACAGCATGAGCACCGATCTACGCAACTAGGATACCATGACATGTGTCAACCAAGTCAGCGAGTCTGACCACCTGTTCCCATTAGTCGCCTCTTACGACAAGCATGGGTTACTGAAGACCTAATCTAACCCAGATCTTCACGGGTGCCTGTTTTAGTATCTGTGGTAATCAGGGCAGCCTTTAACTGCTTGATCAAAAAACTAAAAACATTCAAATGTTATTTCTTGTGAATTATTACGAACCAAATCCAAGTACCTCTGTGAATTGTGGATTATAGGAGTGGGTCTGCATACAGAGCTGGCTGGAGGTTAGCGGGTGGATTCCTATTGGCAACTTACCAAAAAACAACGAAAGATAAAACTTGTTTTTCACATGGTGTGTTCCCTTAAAATAAATTTCAATTGGAATGAAGGTCCCACAGTGTAACAAGTCACATGTAACAAGACACTTATACATTGTGTAAATGCTTTAAACAAGCTCAGGATACCTAATCCTATGTCCTCTAAGGGATGCAACTCTGCACAACAAATATCGGAACCTGAAACATCTGGGCCGCTTGTGTCATGAGATGTAAGTCAGCACTTCAAATGTGCAGATCTAGATGAAGGAGCCCACATGCCCTGCATGGAGCTCGGTGAGGTACCCTGACAACTCACTTTCAATCTCCTCCTGTGTGAACTCACTGACGTCATCTTCATCATTTTCCCAGAAACTCTGGAACTTGTTTGGTTCGCCATCCTTGGCTTGTAATATCTGAAACATTATGTTACAATGAAGAACATTGGGTGTCTTAAAAACCAGAAGACGCCTTCATGCATCAGTGAAGTAGTGAGTGAGTGAGTGAGTTTAGTTTTACACCGCTTTTAGCAATATTCCAGCAATATCACGGCGGGGGACACCAGAAATGGGCTTCACATATTGTACCCATGAGGGGAATCGAACCCGGGTCTTCGGCGTGACGAGCGAACGCTTTAACCACTAGGCTACCCCACCACCCCCATCAGTGAAGTAGCACAGTCTAGTGTTTGATGATACTTCATAACAATATCATATTTAAAAGAGGGAATGCCAGAATTTGACTTCACACAATCCAAAGTCATATTGGGAATTGAACCCAGACTTTCGGGTAGAAAGAACTCTATAACTTTATTTATGATAGCACCAAGGCTTCACTGGGGGGTGGTCATGTGACCTAGTGGTTAACATGGTTAAAGCGTTAATTTGTCATTGGATTAGATTCCCCACATGGGTACAATGTGTGAAGCCCATTTCTGGTGCCTCCAGACCTTCACTGTGCTGTATTTCAAAAGCAACACTGACCTTATGAAGAACATCAGCGCACTCAGGGTCCAGTTGGTCAGGAATATCATCATAATCATCAGGCTCGGCCATCTTCCATCTGTGTCTGCTGACAGGATTGAAAGATAACTATTGCTGCACACACGCTCAAGGTCGTCCTTGATGAACCTGGGAAGATCCGGATTAGAATTGGTCTTTAGCAACCCATGCTTGTTGTAAGAGGCAACTAATGGGATTCAGGCTCGCTGACTTGGTTGACACATGCCATTGTATCCTAATTGTGTAGATTGATGCTCATGCTGTTAATCCAAGGGTGGAAATAACCCATTGCCCCACGCCCGAGTCCAGTGTTTTTTTCTGTCGGGCAAGCAAATTTGTATATCACACTGTACCAGTGTCTAGTTGATATTCCAATGTTAATTATGTTGTTTATTTAAAAAATCAACAAGAAAACGGACGGTATAGTGGAAAAATTATCATGGCAAGTGATTTTACAAGTGCCACTGTACCACGTACACTAACAATTATAAAGTTATTTCCACCTCTGTAATCACTGGACTGTCTTGTCCAGACTCGATTATTTACAGACGTCACTATATAGCTGGAGTATTGCTGAGTGAGGCGTTAAACAACAACCAACCGTCGTAACCAAATGTCGTAAGATAATGTATCAGGTGGGACAGGAATTTAGACAAACTCTGCACTCATTAACATAGCAGAGACATTTTTCATGTTTTTAATAAATCAGTTTGGTTTGTTTTGATAGAACTATTTTACAATTATTGAATATAAGATGGTGTTATAGTGTTTTATTGTTTACAAGTAAAATAAGAATAAAAATATTACATAAGTCATAAAAAGGTAACTAAAAATATTGAAGGTTGGTGGTAGTGTTCTAAAGTTTGTGGTTTTATGCATATGTCAATCATATTGATATTTGGTTGTATTTATCAAGTATTTCAGATGAATATCATTCATCTGAAACGTTCTTATTATGTTTAGTATTCACAAAATATGCTGGATCTAGAGTATGGTCTCATTCTGGATTATTGTTTATCACATGACCCTAATTCCTAGCTTTTAATTGGCTAATTTCAAATTCCCAAGCACCCCAGTAGAAACACTTTAGCACAGCACACCACCCAGGCAACAAGGCAACAAGATCTACTACACAGCATCAAACAGGTCACAAAAGTATCAGCTCAACACGGATTAATCCGTAAGGCTCTATTCCACAAATGGGTAAGATGTATTTGTATATGTCAATGTATATCCTTCTTTTCTTTATGTACACCTTTCGCGAACCTTTAAGGGTTACCAAATATTTATCTGGCTGTATGTCATGTTAATTGTGAACTTTATTGTCTGTCAGATATGTGTACATATTTTTGTAATTTAACATTATTTGGGCAAATGTGTTATTTGGCAATGAATTATCTCCCTTGGTGTCACAACCAACGTTGTGCATATAGTTTCATGCTATTAATATTTCCTTTAACAGTTTATAATGTGGTATAATTCACATGTGTAAATGTTAGACTACAGAATTAATTGTGGTAAGCTAATTGTGATACCTATGCAAAACATTATGCAATGTGTACATGTTTCTAAGAATTTTATGTGTGTTTCAGGGCTTGAAGTATGATATATAGTATCTGAATAAACCGCACCTCACCCCTACAGCGAGTCATGTGATCCTTTGACATTACTTGGCGTTTAACCAGCTGTAACACTGAGTGAGGCATTAAACAACAACCAACCGTCGTAACCAAATGTCGTAAGATAATGTATCAGGTGGGACAGGAATTTAGACAAACTCTGCACTCATTAACATATCTATAGGTTAGTTGTTTTAACTGTACTTTTAATAATAAATTTGATTTTGACTTGTTTCTGCAGCCACAAGTGTCGCGTGAATGAGACAGTTATTATTCCCCATTAATAAAATATATGAAAAGTCAAAATAATTATGCCTGACATTTAATGCAGCAAAACAGAAACAAAACAATAAAACCAAGGCAGAATCCCACAAGCTACATATTCACCAAAAGTGTGAATGATGACCAAACTTCTAAATAAATGTCTTCCGGATGATGGAGGCTATTTCTAATAAGTAGTTTTTAACTCCTGGCTATGTTCTATGGACGAGTTTGTCCCTCTACGATAATATATTTTAATGACAACGTTAAGCTGGTTAATGTGGTCAGCTATTGACCACAAAATGCACAAGATTTTTAAAAGCATGCGCATAATGCAAAGCGACAGGTGTATTTGGGTGCACTGACACAAGCTAAAAACAACATCTGTTTTCCTTCTGTTCACATTGCAGTGTTTTCTAAATATGTCCCTGATTCAGTTCTGCTTCCCACTTGATCTTACAACAATCAAGTGCAATACACTTTGCTTACACTCAACAGGAGAGGACGTGACATAACCTGCCTTCATCACTGGCCTCAGTAGTGAGGCCTTACGTTTTAGTTTGTGCAACAATATATTTACTTCTCAAACTGGAAACAGGACTGGTCAAGATTTTGTATTTGCTTTTGCACTAAGCAATGACGTCTGAAAATCTGTACCCTCTTGATAATTACAACCGCACAAGTAAATAGAAATTTCCATGATCGAAAATATTAGTATACATATTTGAACATAAGTGAATGAGTTTAGTTTTACGCCGCACTCAGCAATATCCCATCTTTTTGGCAGCGGTCATTACATAATCGAGTCTGGACCTGACAATCCAGGGATCAACAGCATGAACATCAATCTACTCAATAGGAACACGATGACATGTTGACATGTGTCAACCCAGTCAGCGAGCCTGACCACCTGATCCGGCTGAAGGTAAGTGTTTTGAAGAGCAGTTTGTGTTAGATTATGATTAATACATATTATGGCATCGTTGGCTCTGTGGTATTTTCCAAAGAGCCTGTAGCTCTGTGCAGCGAAGAGTCAAACTCAAGATTGTGTCTACCACAGCGATATCAGGGCTCGATTTGTAGAAATGTAACCAAATTTACCTGATGCAACCGTTAGTAATAACCTTAAAATTGTTGCACCAGAACCAATAAAAACAGGTTGCACCGGCTGCTCAAAACAGAATTATGTACATGATGCTCGAGTGAGTGAGTGAGTGAGTGAGCATGGTTTTACGCCACTTTTAGCAATATTCCAGCAATATCACGGCAGGGGACACCAGGAATGGGCTTCACACATTGTACCCATGTAGGGAATCGAACCTGGGTCTTCGGCGTGGCACATGATGCTCAGGTTTTGATATTGATGATTCAGAACAACAATACATCACAGCCACTGCTACAAATTGTTTTCTCTTTTCCAGCTGAAGTTTTTTAGCCTGTTTACAGCAATTAAAATATGAACATTTACTGGGTGAAAGTTGGTATAAATATGACGTTGAATGTTGCAGTTTTAGGCATAAATATGACGTTGCATGTTGCAGTTTTAGGCTGCACCAGTGCAAGTTCTATAAGCCCTTGATATGTAAATTAAAGAAACGGAAATATTAAGTGTGAAAGTAAGTACTGCATTTAGCAATAACGTGGGCGGTTTGTTTTGTCTGTCAAACTTATTGTATCCATTGTATCCACATGGCCAGTGTTCGTCACTTGGTGTGGGCTGAAGAGTGAAGTGTGATCGATTGAGAATTAAAATGAACAAATCTGTCGTTTCGACGAAAGTAATATTAACATATGAATAGTGAGATGTTACACATACCTGCTGATTTCAAGTACTTCCGCAAAATCAGTCAACACACCTCACTATGTCAAGGATATGTTTACCTCAACGAGGCCTTGTGGAGTTACTTGCCCTTTAGAAGGAGTCGCTGTGTAAGCACGCGTTGCTACGAGTTTGTACCAGTAGACGAGTCGCTCATAAAATCATCAGTCGCCAAAACACTTTGTATGTTTGTTTAACAACACAACAATATTCCAACTGATTAGTGGCAGTCTGTAAATACTCGAATATGGACCAGACAGTCTAGTGATTGACATCACGAGCATCGATCTACACTTTTGGGATACAATGACATGCATCAACCAAGTCTGAAGTCGATCTGACCGCCCGATCCTGTTAATCGCCTCGTTTGACAAGCAATTGAAGCATGGGTTGGTGAAGACCATCTCGCCAAAAGGGAGAGGGCTCAAATATATCCAATGGAAATATATTCTAATATCATATTATCATATTCTGATCAGAAAATGTAAATGTACTTGTTAAGGAGCAGTGAGTGTATGAAGTTATTCGACATCTGGTGCAGATGAAGGGACGGACAGGTATTGTCATTGCAATCAATGCACATGGAAGTATACCAGGGGCGGATCCAGAGGTGTGTGTGTGTGTGTGCGTGCGTGCGTGCGTGCGTGCGTGCGTGCGTGCGTGCGTGCGATTCCCCTTTCTCCCGAAATGTTTTTCCCTGAGGAGCATTTCCCCTTAACCATTTCCCCTTTGGACTTCATGATTTGGGTGTGCACCCCCGCCCCTTCTTTCTCCATAAACCTGGGTGCGGACACAACTAGCATTTTTTCTTGTTGCTCTACTTCTGATTTTCTTCAACAGGAACAACTTAAATAGCAATGAGGTATTTAGAATGTCAGACTAACATCTCGTCCCTTTGAAGAACATATTTTTCAAATAAAATAGTTCAACTTTTTTTAAACATATAATATGACAGTTGTTTTGCAGTAATCTAGACTTGACAAATATTATAGATTTGCTGTAATGACATTTTTTTCTGTGTCTGGTTGACTGTTTTATAAAGAGCTTGGATCAATGTCCATGCTGACGACTTCTGGTCTGCCTTGCCAAGTCCTATTAGATAGATATACTTTATTTCCTCCATGTGAAGATAAATACAAGGTTCACAGGTACATTGCAACAAGTAAATGAATATGTAATTATATAGATTTATCATCCAAAACTGTGTTCCACAGGAGATATCGCTTGTGTGAGATCAAACGATATCTCCTAGGAGATATCGTTTTGACAGTAGATTTTGTACAATGCCCTGACAATGCTATGACGTCATGTACTTGATGACGTCACAATGCTATGACATCGCTGCACTGCAAGTCTAATGGCAGTACCATGTTCAGAGATGTACATTTTTCATTGAAAATTAATGAAGAGTGATTTTGGATGATAAATAGAATCTCACCCTCGTGTCTTCTGATAACAAATATATCAACACTCGTTGATAAAAGTAAAAAATATCCTCGGCAAGCCTCGGATATTTGTAACTTTATCAACTCGTGTTGATATAATTGATATCAGAAGACACTTGGGTGAGATTCTCTATACATGTATACTGTAATAAGTATGGTATTTACACATGTCAAAAATTATACACATTCATAGAAAAATCGTTTCCACAACTTAATTGTTCTCAATCTGCATATTCGATGCACATTGCCCATGTTTTATACTCGAGGGTCTTCGTGCACTGCGTAGGAAGCCCTCCCAGTATAAAACAGAGTAACATATCTATATCACTATTCCAGAGGTCACTAAAAGTTTCTACATCAAGAATGTCAATTAAGTCTTCAATCAGTCTGTCTCGTTCATACTGCGTTTCATTACAATACAGAAATACATGTTTAACAATGTCATAGACAAGCGTACCACAAAGAAATTTATGAGATTGAATTGTTTAAGTGCTGATGTGTAATAGTAGGCCTACTGCAATATCAAAAAAGCATAAATGTTTTTCTAGGGTAAGATATCATAACCTGCTCGGACAGTTTTCATAAGTAAGATGATACCGTGATAAAGCTGCTCTTGTAGAAAGTTCTGAAATAATATATTTGTTGTCTGCTTCATGAATAACAGTTTTAACCTGAAGTGCCCATAGTTGTTAACTTGGAACTACAGAAGTTTCCAAGAACATATTAAGTCATATATTCCATATTTTCTTACCAAAGCCAACATATGAAAGATGGGCGAGGTCTTACACTTTAGACATATTGAAGGAATGTCATCGCACATGAACTGTGTAAATCTATAACAGAATATTTTCTAAAAAACAAAACTGATATTAGCACGTATTAATCTCCCGATGAAAATAAGGGTTTGACAGTTCTGAGAATATCTTGTGGACTCCGTTGATGAAGCTCTTTGCTGATTATTTTTCAACATTATTCCACACACATCTGCTGACGATGCTCGGGTGCCTGGATCCCAATGCTTTTGTAGATTTCTCCTGGTAGCGTAGCAATCACCGTTTGTTTTTATATTGTTCGTTGTAAAACTCCACAATCCGGAGTATTCCAGCTATATGGCGGCGGTCTGTGAATAATCGAGTCTGGACCAGACAACCATGTGATCAACAGCATGAGCATCAATCTACACAATTGGGATAGGATTATATGTGTCAACCACGTCAGCGAGAGTGACCAGTGACCACCCTGATCCTGTCACTCACCGAAGACCAATTCTAACACGAAAGTTCACGGGTCAACACAGTTTGAGAGAAGTATTGGTTTTGCGGTAGGCGACGTTGATAAAATTGGTGAATCCTAGGATTTTCAATGTGTTCATATCCACAGTCGAGCATAGCAGCCACGATCACAACACATTTGGGTACAGGTGACTTCTCCTGCTGGTGAGTTTTCAGCAACATTTTGCCGCGATTTGCCGCCAAGGCAGATTAGCATAATGTTCCTCATTAATGTTCTGACCTTGGGGGGAGGAGAGTGTGATTCTTATGGACTCCTGGAAAACTGATGTCCTCTCGAGCAGAGTGTGTGCGTGCGTGCGTCACGTGTTATTTTGAAATTCCACAGATACCATTTTACATGGATATCCCACTTGGAGGCAGTGTTCTCCATATGCCTAAATCATGGCTGCCTTACTGCCAGGTCAGACAACCCTTGTAATTAGTGGACTGCTCCTTAGCAACTCTCGCCCAGCAACACATTTGTCAGTTTGGTGTCTGATGCCGCACTCAGCACTTTTGAAGGTACATGGTGGCAACCTGGACCAAACAATCCAGTGACTGATATCATTAAAAAAGCCAACGCTTCCTTGACATGTCAACAAGTCTGACCACTCAATCCATTCAGTAAACTCACAGTGTGCGAGTCTGCCAAGAAGAACTTTGTCATGTTGCTGAAGCATGAGTGAGTGAGTATGATTTTACGCTGCTTTTAGCAATATTCCAGCAATATTAGGGCTGGGACACCAAAAATGGACTTCACACATTGTGCCCACGTGGGGAATCAAACCCGGGTCTTCAGGTGACGAGCAGACGCTTTAACCATCAATCTACCCCACTGCCCCCTGAAGTATGAAGGGATAAGGGAGTGAATGAATTTAGTTTTACCCCCCATTAAGCATTATTTCAGCAATAGGAGTGTGGCGACACCAGAAATGGGCTTCACATTGTAACCATTTAGGGAACTGAAACCAGGGTCTCCTGGATTCATGCTTTCACCACTAGGCTACTCCAGCGCCCTCACCTCTCACAACACCAGAGTTTGCTGTGGACCTATACCCTCATTGAGTCAGCGACACCACCATGTCAGAACCCACAGTAAAATAATCAACAAACTCATCAATGACGTCACAGTGTTTTATCTCAGATTATAACCGAAGCACAAAGCTCTTCTCAAGAACAACATGGACAAGCTGACATGTATGAAATTATGATACAGACTTAAGTTAGAGATGTAGATCAATGGCCCTCATAGAACTTGGGGATCTGATCCCCTGTTAGTGTGAACCTCTCTGTTCCGTCCTTCGTGATGGCGGCCAGGCGGACGATGCCACCGCTGGAACCGTCTCTGTTCATGGCAAGTGACAAAGCTGGAAGTATATAAACATCATATATAAACATCAACATAGCATACAGTATAATTATGACGATAAACAAGAGCTAAACATTGATTTCTATCAGCAATCAAAGTGAAGCATTTCATGAATTACTCAATTATTCAAACTATTTATTAGCCAGCTACAAACTGCTTGTGTATCTTTTTTTAAAGCTACCAACAGCCGGTAGCGCATTGTAGTTACTGACAGTTTGTGCCACTTTCAGTTAGACACCAAAAGCTAGAGATAGCTAATCACTGTTGGTACTGGGTGATTGCAAGTTAATGTACCCTGATGTCACAGGCCATTGCTTATAATACAGGCCAAGGTCAGCAGTTACAGTTAATGTGGTCAAAGTTTCTGGAAATTGCTGCTGGTGCTGTATCCTAGGGCTCATATTTGTCATTATTTTCAGGAGATCTTTGTCATAGCATGTGGACTAGTATTACTTATCGTACTTGACAAGAAGCAATTGTACTAGCCTCAGGTTTGAGACCAGTGGCCAAAGTGTCAGACTGCTTACCGTTTGCTACAAACTGCAGACATTCCTCCTTGGAGAGTCCAACTTTAAACTGAGAGTCAACGTAGCCATATAGATAGGTACTGCCTGATCCACCGATAGCAAACGGTTGTCTCACCAGCATACCACCAAGGGGAATAGAAAACACCTGCAAACAGTACCACACAAACAAACAATCACTTTGCAGTCAAAACGTTAACAGCATGTATGAAATGTGGGTGTTGTAGACAAAGTGGGTATGGTTTTACGCCGCTTTTGGCAATATTCCAGAAATTGTACTTATGTGGGGAATCGAACCCTGGTAACCACTAGGCTACCAATCAATCAATCTTTATTCACTCACAGCCCTGTTGTAGACTGTCACAATGATCATATCATTTTAATGACATTTTCGCAAAGCAAGTGTCCACATACCTAATGTTATATAAAGGTTCATGAAAAAATCAAACTAATTGCATGTAATATTAGATTTACAGTTTCAATGTTAATGTGCGGAGGTAATATCAGTAACGTTTTTCTGACCCAACTTTGATGTATATTATTTAGGAGATAAACACAAAAGTAGACCAAAAGGCCCACATGGGTTTTACGGTCTGCACTCATTGACATGGAGTACGGGTACAGCAGTGAAGTGTCATCAGCTGTCCGTTTCTGCTGGTTCCCATGGTAGCATCTGGAACAGCTCATTTGTGACGTCATTCCAACTTTACGTCACAATATCATTTTAATGACGTCACCACTGCTGACGACGCAACAATACAATTGTGTGCGATATTTGTATGTGTCAATACACAGTGAATAGTCTTGCAATTTCCTGGAATCGAATACCATTCGATGATGTTTTTCAACCAATCAGAATAAAGAACACACTGACTTTGGTTTACAATTCATTTTAAGACTGAAGTCCAAAGAGTCCGAGTCCTTATTTTGAAATGATGGCAGTTATTCTGAGTTAATATTAAGTAAGGGTCATCACCTGTCCCCCTCCTCGCTTGTCCCAGCCCCCGACGATGATGCCTGCTGTGAGGTTGTCCCGGTGTTCATAACAGAGGTCTCGGAATACATTGGCTGCTGTCTTCACCTCAGGCTCCTCGCCCATCTCCATTCTGACAGAAAATATAAAATATTTTATACACATCTCGGAATAATTTGACGGGGAATTATAATGTCAATTATTGGAAAACAAAAAATCTACAAACTTGTGAAATGACATTAATCAAGACCCACTTGTAGAAGTTGAGATGGTAGTTGACGATGTCTGCAACAGCTTGTGTGTCAGCTGCAGAACCAGATCGGCAGCAGTAGATATAGTCCGTCACCTTTGTCAACTTATCAGTCACTCTGTTGGCAATGTATGATCTGAAACAAGCAAACCATGAACATTAAAAGAACCACTTCATATGTTTTCATCAGTATCCTAATACCTTGAACTGATTGTAAAAGTAATGTCTTTACATTTATGACCCAATGCTTGCCGGGTAGAATAGGTCTTCAGCAACCCACTTGCCACAAAAGGCAACAATGCTTGTCGTAAGAGGCGACTAATGGGATCGGGTGGTCAGGCTTGCTGACTTGGTTGACACGTCATCGGTTCCCAATTGCGCAGATCGATGCTCATGTTGTTGATCACTGGATTGTCTGGTCCAGACTCGATTATTTACGTACCGCCGCCATATCGCTGGAATATTGCTGAGTGCGGCGTAAAACTAAACTCACTCACTCACTTTACATTTATGAATGTCAATGAAGATCATGAAAGCATAACAATAGGAAACACAGTTTAATTTCACGGTTTCTGTGACCGAGTGAGGTTTATTGCTGCTTTTAGCATGTTTGGCAATATTCGAGCAACATCATTGTGGGTACACTAGAAATGGGCTTCATTTTGTACCAACCCAAGTCTAACCCACTATACCACTGTTTTTGTTACTGTACAAAATATGCCAAAGTTAACCATTACCCTGTAGTTGTTCTGGAGTCGGCTCCAATCACCACTCCCCCATCGAACTCAACTGCTGCTATTGTTGTCTGAAAAACAAGAAGAAGATTATTAAGGAGATAAACATGCTGTTTTTGATGCGGAGGTGGGGAAAAGAATTTTAATTATTCCTACTACTTTTTTGGTACACAAGGTAACATTTTGGGTTACTTAACTCATCAATTCAATTTGAAACCTCAGACTGACCAATCAGGAATAGCATTTCATAGAATTTGCCAATCAGCTAGAACTTAAGATAGGCTAATTAGCATGCATTGAGAATCTAATTTGGCAACAACTATTCACGGAACCTCAGGTGATATCCCCAATAATCAGTGCTCTTTTCACCAGTGATCGTCATCTGAATGTTTACATCGATAAGCATACATGTACAATATTCACATTTCTGTGTTGAAAGTCATTAAGATGTATGATTCTCCCAATTTACATTGATTTGATAAACAAACAGTTAGCTAAGCCAAACTCAAACTCAACTAACCTAAGCATGCTAAGGATGTTAAAGGGGTACCTTTAACCTTACCAAGAATATGAAAGGGGATTTTTTACTTGCATGAGGTGCTTCAACGTAAGGACTGTGAAGGGTTTTATATTGAAAGAGATTTTAAACCCCAATCATTGTAAAGCCCAAAGGTGTGCCTCAAAGAAAATGTTATCGAAATCGAAAAACTTAGGATAGAGTTAGCGGTACTTTTTACCCAACGCTAACACAAAACTTCAAGTATTGATGAGGCACGAAAATGAAAGGCACAACATGCAATAATGTTGTCTTGAGCAGATTACAATAAGACCCTGCAAGACAGAAAAACGGTATAAACCTAAAAGGCACATTTTGTATTCTTGATCACATAGCACGTTTAACATTTTCCCAACGATAAGAATCTTGTCAATATGACCAAACACCAGGAAAATGACAATGCACGATGAGGGTAACGGAGATCTCTGGAGCGAGCATGTGAATTGGCGATGACGAGTCATATCACTGATATTATGAGCATACAACTGCGTTTAACAGATGTGTCCTGTCCCTTTATATACTTACACCAGTTGTAAGTTCTGCGTTCAACCAATCTGGAGTTAAGTCGCCGTTAACGGCAGAAGAAGACCCTGCACCAAACTTGCTGGTCATCATGGTTGCAGCCATTTTTGTTTGTTACTGGACTTGGGTGCAAGGGACGTAACTTCATGCAAAGCTCCACGCAGCGTTCATCTTGCATTGCTCGCCCGTTATGAAGTAAAACCACTGATAAATGAATGCAACATGAAAATTAGATATTTCCTTACTCGAAAAATAAATGGAAACAGATATTTTGTGGTACATGTTACATCTGTAGAAATGTTGGGTTTTTCGTTCACTTTCTTAATATATTCTCTAATTTTGCGAATATTGGATGATTGATCAACAGCTAAATTCAATGAAAACGCTTACTTTTCCAGAGGGTTTCAGAATAAAGCACAATTAAATTTTCCGGTGATCCTATTCAGTCATTTGTCAATGCCTATATTCTAAAGTGCAATATCTGTTTGAAAAATTCATAAACACATTTTAAATAATTTTTATGTTTTTGTTAGCTTTGTTAACACAGTGATGTATAAAACTCAATGAAATGGGTTTGAGACAGTTTCCTGCAAAAAGGATTTCACCAGAAGCTCTGAAGCCGACTTGAGTACGATTGTTTTTAAGGAAATAAATGAACAGAAGTCATAATCAACAATTATACAAACAACAATGTTAAACTATTCGCTTGGTATGATCGCAACGTTTTGTGAATAGAAACATTATTATAATGATCGATCTCTTCTTACCAATAATAATATCTGTTTATCCTCGTGCAGCATTTCATCTTTCAATTCGTACCGGTAATAGTATCCGTTATTCTTCGCTTACACACTCCATCTTTTATCAGTACGAACCAGGGCCTAGATTTTCGAAGCTCTCTTAGCGCTAAGATAGTCGTAAGTTAATGTTAATGAATGGCACTTACGACTATCTTAGCGCTAAGAGAGCTTCGAAAATCCAGGCCCAGCACTATTATCTGTAATTAACATTCCGTCTTTCATTACTTCTGGGCTATAGTATCCGCTATTTCCCGAGGTAAACTCAGTCGTTCTTGTCTTCCTGGGAATAGTATCCTTTTTTTCATTTCAGAAAGTCGATGTATTCAGACCTACTTGTGTGATTTTAACTGATTTCTTTTTCTTATGAAAGCAGTTTGGCATGAGTTTTAGCAGTTTGAGAGCGTGACTTGAGTAATACATGCGTGAATCTCAAGCCAAATGCGACCCGTGAAGATCCAGGTTAGAATTGATCTTCAACAACCTATGTTTGTCGTAAGAGGCGACTAACGGGATCGGGTGGTCAGGCTCGCTGACTTGGTTGACACATGTCATCGTATCCCAACTGCGTAAATCGATGCTCATGATGTTGATCACTGGATTGTCTAGACCAAACTTAATCATTTAAATATACTAGTAGCTGAGTGCGGCATAAAACTAAACTCACTCAAGCCAAATGCGTGAGAGTTGGCAGGTATGCAGTAAGCATCATGCAGCAACACAATAAGCTGAGTTTCGGACCAGCAAGGATTTCGACCTGTTTGACAACGATCGGGAATCCCCTTCAATCCTTGCTCATTCGGCCGACTGAAACATTCCAGCTTGCGTGTGTGTAAATGTGTATGTGCAATCATGTACTTCAGTATACAAGAATTAAAGTGGTTTTTTTTCTCAGTTAAATGAATTATTAAAAACAGCAACGACCCCTATCTGTTCAGACAATATGCATCTATCATAACAATTGCTTCTCCATCCTTGTCACCAGTTTTATCGTAGACATCCTATACCAGTGTACTTCTTGTCATTCAGGGGTGGTGGGGTAGCCCAGTGGTTAAAGCGTTGGCTCGTCACGCCGAAGACCTGGGTTCGAATTCCCACATGGGTACAATGAGTGAAGCCCATTTCTGGTGTCCCCCGCCGTGATATTGCTGGAATATATGCTAAAAGCGGCGAAAAAACCAAACTCAGTCAGTCAGTCTTGTCATTCACTTGACGTGGGGCGGCGGGGTAGGCTAGTGGTTAAAGCGTTCGCTCGTCATGCCGAAGACCCAGGTTCGATTCCCCACATGGGTACAATGTGTGAAGCCCATTTCTGGTGTCCCCCGCCGTGATATTGCTGGAATATTGCTAAAAGCGGCGTAAAATCAAACTCACTTACTTCACTTGATGTGCAGTTAATGACTTTTTATCTGTGTCAATTACTGGTGGGAACACTCGGATTACCTGACAAAGACTAAGGCAGAATAACTGAATAATATTCACCTCTGCCTCTGAAGGTGTCAAGGATATATAACAATATGGGTTGACTTTGACATTTCTCGTGTCTAGAGTAATTATTAAAACTAAGATTGGTCATAAATCTTGGTCTAATGGCGAAACTTAGGTTATGTCCTTGGCAAACCACAACGACGATGTCCGTATGAAATAAATAAATTGAATAACACGTCTTTAGTTGTTTCATGTTTTGTCAACAAAATGGGCGCCTTCTTTTGTCTGCCAGTGTAATACAAGTAAGCTTTACGCCATTACATCTACCTTGAATTTGCCAGGTTTATGCAGGGATAATTAATACATCATATTCATGTCTGTGGCATGACGTTATGAGCATTATTCGTTAACATAAAAACTAAATATAAACATTTATTTGTAAAAAAAAATTACAATTTTTTAAAAGGACATCTCACATCTTTGAATTCTTGTGGGGCGGTGGGGTAGCCGCCCAGTGGTTAAAGCGTTCGCTCGTCACGTCAAAGACCTGGGTTCGACTCACCACATGTGTATAATATGTGAAGCCCATTTCTGGTGTTCCCCGTCGTGATATTGCTGGAACATTGCTAAAAGCGGCATAAAACCATACCCACTTTGTCTATAACACTAACAAACTAAACTCAATCACTTTGAATTCTTGCCAAAAACGTGTGAAGCGGGCATAAAATCCCGAGTCTGTCCAATAGTCTGGCGTTGAAGTAATGAATTCTCCATGTGAACATTTATTTTTCAGTAACTCTCATTATAATTCATTTGCTTTTTGTTTAACACAGTAGCAAAAAACATGAGATATTTTATTTAATCCACGACTGCCTGTAAATAATCGATCTAATTTAATCGCATCTTAACCAGAGTAACAAAGAAACGAAACCAGTTGACATGCAGATACACCTGGGAGTGAACACGTGTCAGGGATATTCGAATACATATTTATCATGAGGCAGATGGAGCGATTAGGCTGTTTTGAACCAAAAATATTCTTTGATCTTTGGCTAAGCTTCGCGTGACACCGCTGAAAGCAAAATGTATTTAGAAAATATATTTTAAAAAAAAGAAATGCATCAGCAAACCATTCATGGCCTTGAGCTTTTCCGTGAACGCGAAGAGCTGAGACAAACAAGTACGGTGATGAATGGGTCTTGGTTATTTATCGAAATAGTAAGGAGAAATAATTACCCGAATAACACCCGTGAAGATCCAGGTTGGAATTGGTCTTCAAGAACCCATGCTTGTCGTAAGAGGCGACTAACGGGATCGGGTGGTTAGGCTCGCTGACTCGGTTGACACATAACTCATTTTATTACCCACGTGGTCAACGTATGGGTAGTTGCATATTAATCTCGTACGTCACACGAGTGTCGTATCGCGTTGACCTGTGTCGTAACGACTTGACCTGAAATTCTAACGATTTGATTGGATAACCGATGACCTCTCAATTAGGTCACATTCTGACGTAACTATTTTTTCATTCATAACAAACACGTGAATTCATTCATTCTACAACTTAAATGCATTGTGGGAATGTAGACATTGCGAACGTTGCCGTGTCGCTGTTTAATTGTGAGTCGAACTGAGACATTATATCTGTCGAAAAACATAAACGCAATGTTTCCACCAGTGATGTTAGCCGAATGAAGCAACTGGAAACCAAGAAACGAGGTGCAACGGAGTAGTTTACTGTAGGAGGCTGTACGAGGCGATGACAACTGACATGCATCGTGACGTCGGTTACCATGGCAGTGACGTCCTTAGTGTGACGTCATGCAAATATTGTACTACAGTACAAAACTCTTCCGCAACCTCTTTATGAAACCGGTTTCGGTTTGAAACCAAAAACATAACAAAAATACGCTATTTTGTCAATTTAAATGCATGTAAGACGTGGGTAATAAATAAAATACCACAATCGGTCTCATTACATACGAATTATACGAAACTCGTGACCTTCCTATGTTATCTGACCTCGCTTTCGCTCGGTCAGATACCATAGGAAGGACACTCGTTTCGTATAATTCGTATGTAATGAGACCTCGTGTAGTATTCTCTATGTTTCCCGATGAGATCGATGCTCATGTTGTTGATCACTGGATTGTCTGGTTCAGACTCGATTATTCACAGACCGCCGCCAAATAGCTGGAATATTACTGATTGGGACGTAAACAACAAACCAACCAACCAACCATTGTGCATTAGTTCACTGACCTGTTTGATGCATGCAAACCTAACCCAGTTACAGAGATAGACGTCAATCACAGGACTGTCTGGTCCAGACTCGATTATTTATAGACTGCCGTCATACAATTTTAAACTTGCTGGTTGCTACGTGTAAACAACAAACAGGCATAACGTATTAACCTCCTTTATTGTACAGCATACGGAAGGATGAGGAATTCCTATAAGCTTCCTTTAGGAATGGCGGGGTAGCCTTGTGGTCAAAGCGTTCCTCGTCGAGCCGAATACCCGGGTTCGATTCCCTACATGAGTAGAATGTGTGAAGCCCATTTCTGGTGTCCCCCGCTGTGATATTGATTGAATATTACCAAAACCGACGTAAACCTCAACATACTCACTCACTTACTCACTGTAGGCCGTTCTACTGACTGTTGTCCTTTGGCAATTCAGGTTTCTGTGTTCCTTTGTCGGTTGTGTCGCTTGACCGTAAACAGACAAGGCTATAAGGGTTGGTTCACCTGTAGTAACAAAGGATGCATGGTGTCTCTGACTTCATGGGACGATAACTTTCAACAGGTTCCCATTCCCTTGCTTTGCAGGTGTCCCTGGGATGAGTGTATTGTACCATCACAGCAAAACACGACTTGTTTGTTTGTTTCCCCAAGGTTTGGTGTATTGTATGACCAGGTTATTGGAAATGC